CCCCCCCCCCCCCCCCCCGCTGTAAGCCCTGAGCACATCCCCTCTCTAGTGTCAGTTTCCTCATCTGCCAGACGCGGAGGTTGGATGGCATGACTTCTAATGCATCAGCCCTCTCGGATATCCACATGGAAGGTCAGACCCCAGCAGGGCTGGAGCAGCAGGGCAGACAGCCCCCGCCCCACCCTGGCCCTTCGCTTGCACCCCATTGCTAGAAGCCTGCTCGGCACACCATGACTCAGCCCTGGATCAGAAAAGAATCCTTACTGGTCGCGCTGGGGCTGGGTGAAACACTTCCCAGGACCCTCAGTGGGTCACGGTAGCAAAATGAATCCTCCAGAGTTGGCATTTGAGGCTAGTCACGTCTGAAATCACAGGTATTCTCTGCATATATGAGCATACACACACACACACACACGCACGCGCACACGCGTGCACATATATACATACATATACATGTATACGTGTGCACACATGCATATATATACATACACACGTATACACATATGTATACATACATGCACACATGCATATAGGTGTATTTTAAACAAAAAGTAGTGCTCTCTACACACTGTTCTGCCCTTTGTTTTGCCTTGGTTTCACATAGTAAATCTTGGAAACTCGCTACAGGCACATAAGGAGCTGCCTCATTCATTCTGATGGCGGCGTGGTATTCAACAGTGTGGGCATACCAGAATTGCTGGAACCACCCCCCTACCGACGGGTTTAGCTTCCTTCCAGTCTTTGGCTAGCACACACCCTGCTGCAGTGAATATGCAGTGACTTCACACATGTGTCTGTGGGATAGATTTCTTTTGTCAAATTTCTGCTGTCCTTGGAGGTTATTCCAGGCACACTCCTGAGAGTTTGGGACGAGGGTCTTGTTTACTCACAGTGCAGCCGGATCACTGACGTTTGGTACTTGATACATTCTCTACACCGTATGAATCAACCACACTTGTACACAGCTTTGCAAATTTGCTTTAGTCTTTCCCCAGACTCTGTCCTCCTTTTCCACCAACCAGGCCTGCCCTCAGGATAGGCACCACTTGTCTGCTGGGCATTTTATTTTGCTCTGTCCCTTATTAAGCTCGGATCACAGATGGCACTGTACCCATGGCATGAAGTGACTGGCAAGGGGTCACCTTTTGGAAGCACCCACGCATAGGGCTGAGAGAAATTTGCCAGACACCTGCCTGGCTATAGAGGTACCTGAAAACATTGATGGTTTTAGCTGAAGGGGCCTCTTCCATCACCTCCACCGCATCCTCATCATCAAAATACTCCTGGTAGATGTCAATGGCGTTATTCTGCTTGATGCAGTGCTCCATGATCTGAGGAGGACACAGCGGGAGTTCTTAGCAGTAAAGGGAGGTCCTTTCAGCCTGACCAGGGCTGAGATGGAGTCTGGGAGGCACGAGAAATATCTAGTAGTCTTTTCCCAACCTTCCAGCCCATGCATTTTCAATGGGGGCAACATCTACCCCCCAAAAGGGTGGAAATTGGTTCTTGGGGGTAAAATATTATTACTTTTTTATACAAAGTACAGATATACATCCAGTACATAAATATACAGTACAGCTACGGTATTACATTTTCATTGGGGTGGGGCGATGTCTAAAAAGGCTTGTTGGGGGACAACAACGAAAAAAAAGGTGAAGAAACACCACTGCTCCAGGCAAAGAGAATTAGTAACCACCCCATATATGGCATCCATCTCCTGTTTCCTCCACCCAGAAGGCCATTCCCCGTTATTCCAAATGTCCAACAAGGAAAAGCTCAAGATCAAGTGCCACCTCTTCCAGGAAGACTCCCCTGATACCTTCAGCAGG